CAAGAATAACTAGGACAGGAATAACTCGTAACTCCGACAGTTTCCATGGCAAACTAGGCAATTCTGTTACTATGGGTAAGTTTCTCATTGCACTAATGCTGGTTTATGAATTTGCCCTAAATATGGATACCTATTGAACAGAATTACGACAACGATTAAATTTTAGCAGAGGACGTGGGTGACGTTATAAATATGGTGGGCCTATAACGATCCTCTTCATATTATCATTAATGATGAACCCATATTTAAGTAACCGATATCCCTCTCAAATATGTTCCATGCTTATCCAGAAACCCTTTGTTAATAAGAATGCATTCACTCAATTATATCAATCATAATATTTACTGCGGAACAAGTAGAAAATTTTAAGAATTAAATCTTGAAATTACCTAGGCCTTTCAGACTATCGTCCGCTTTCGTCCTTCCATTAGCGTAGGTTTGCATGCAGTCAAGTAAGCTTTTAAAATCGCTTTCACAGTTGATTTTGTAGATTATAAAGGGAAGATGCAAATGTACAACGATAATAGTCCAGGGTCATAAAGCCAATTTTTTGATGCAAAATAAGACCGTCATACAATGCAAAATAACACGATTAGATTCCAGGATACTAAATAAGTAGCATTTACTATTTTTGCTTTTGACTTCTCGCAATAAGTCTCCACTTTATCATGGATTGATGCACAACACTAAAAGTATTTTATAAATAGTTGAATAGCTCAGAAGCGATTTTCGTCTTAAGCACTAACTTCTTCCATTTTCTAGCTAAGTTTATTTTTCCTAGTATAACGGCCACAAATATGTGCGTCTAACTTGAGAAATCTACTTAACAATTAGTAACTGGTTATTTCGAGAGCAAAAGTAGGTTGCAGACATCCTTTGACTAAGGACTGAACGCTTTTAATAAGTCTTGTAGGCAAACGTTACGCAAAACACCGCCTATTCTACTGCCATGCTACTTATTCACGGATGACCTGGTAAAAAGGCCGTAGCCCTAAAAATTCACAGATTCCAAGTCCAATCGAATAAAGTAGAATTTTAGCTGGAACCAAAAAATATGTCGTAAGGGATGATTTAAAGAAACGGTGGGAGAAGTCGAAGTGTGTTGGCAACGGTGATAAACTTTTCGAACTTTTATCATTACGTTAGAAAGATTATCAGCAAAAATTGCCCCCCCCCCCTTAATGAAAAGAATTATGACAATATTTATGTGCAAGATTCTTATTTTCAAGCAGGTGGGTTAGCAGAGCAGCTGTCATATACACTGGTGAAAGTGATATTTAGCCAACTGCTAATTTGTATTTGGCATAACTTCCATCTAAAAGAATTACAAGCGGAATCTACTTTCCGCACAGGTGAACCCGATTTTTTAAGAAAGCGAAAGCCTTTCCGGCTCTGAATACTCTTCTTGGATCAATGAACGGCGCCATATTTCCTCTCAGTGATATTTTATCTCGCAGTTATGCAAGACAATTAATATCCCACTGAAAATAATTCTGTTTTGATGATAGTACTTAAATACAAAATTAACTACTTATTTTCCCTAGATAGTTTGTGATTATTTAGCTCTACAATGTCGCATATTTGAATTTAAGCCTTTACTGACCAAAATATCAGCTGAATGGGCTCAGTACTTCGCAAATTTAATACAAATTCTTTTTGACGTACTAAATAAAGCTCTTTGGTACAGGCAAGTACAATTTTTTTGCTCTGACTTCTACCATTTTTACTGTTAAATGACTCAGATTCCGATGGCATCTGCAGAAGCTGAAACAAATACGATTTTTCTGCAGGCTTTAATAGCGCAACACTGTAATGCTCGGATCACAAAGAGCGAGATGCAAGGTACAAACTGATCGCACGAAATCCGCTCAGAGTCCATCATAAAAGTGAACTAGCTTTAGTGATGTGATTATCAGCCCATAATGTGTAGGAGTTTTAGCAATTTTACGAACTTTTTCCATCCCTCCGATTGAAATAACGCAGTAGTTTTAAGTAAAGGGCACACAACTGATCAATACACTGAGTTTATGTAGCATTTCGGTATTTATCAGTTTTCTTTTCACATTTTCAAGTTGTTTTAACGATAGGGAATTTTAGAGGAGAAAATTGGCTGCAGATTCTATTAAAAGTTGACAAATCTGTCCGGTGATTTTGAATGGAAAAAGGACATCAGTTAATTGGAGCACCATAAAAGTTTATTAATGCTTAACTTCTCCTTGCAAAGGCAAAATTATAAGTATTAAAAGCACCAGCATCCAAATGCTAGTTTATTTGCCTCAAAGAAGCAAATCGACTCACGTACAATTTGCTTACGAAGTTGACTGAATCCTACCTCAGTATGTGGTAATTACGTGGAGATACTGATTTGTCTACCACCGGTTAATAATTTGGCGAGGATCTTTCTTTTATTAACATTATCTAATTAGCCTTTAAACGAGAGTTGTCTTCTTATTTTAAGTGAGAATCGCAGTACCCCTTTCAGTTTCCATTGCTTCATCTGCATGTAAGGTGATTGCTTGTACTAAGGTGCTAATAAAAATCCACTCCTTGTTTGGCCACTGAACAGCAAAGCTATTCGCTGTTCAACAACTTCATGTAACTGCTGAACATTTTTATTGAAGGCCTCCCTGGAGCATTTCTTTAGTAGTTAACTTATGTGTCTGAAGCAAATAATTTTGCCGTAAATGTCACAACTATAAACAGTCGGCATTATGCCCAATAATTCCTGCCTCAAGCTCTCTTAATGCCTACATCGGCAAGACAAAAGTAAATGCTATTCTGTGGCATGCGTACGTAGACTAATCCACTCCTAGATGAACAATCAGAGGATGAACTAAAAAAGAAGCATTAAACATTTAACGGTGACTTTTCAGAACCAAAAATTGAAATTACTAACTAAAACCACTGAGTGTAAGTCGAATAACACTGTGGTTTTAAAGAATTGGGATTTAAAAAGTATTTTAATAGTGCTAACTTAAATGTGATTAGCAAATATATTTCTAGCTAATCCGCATGTATACCTATTCAACGTCATTCTTGAAATGCAAAGAAGCCCTTTTACCTGTTAACCTGAAAGGAACATTGAGAAAAATTTTGAAATTTCAGTTCAATTACCATGGGATTGGGTGCTTAAGCGAAGAAAAATTGCAAAAATTTTGTGAAATTTAGGAAGGAACTGCGGCATCAGTGGTATGCATACTTCTCACCTGTGTAAAATATGCTAATTTAAAGTGGCATCGCATGGACATGTTCATTGCAAATTTTACTTTTGATGTTGAAACACATAGAGGTGCTTTGCTACACGGCTGGATAAGATTTAAAATAGGAATTACAATTTAAGCCCGTATAATAAATTAAATCAATGAGATTAAAATTCTTTCCCAGCGGGCACTTGCCTGCCCAGTTGCGTGCGTGGTCTAATGTAAAAGGAATGTTTTCCGTGGTCTGAACTGCCACAAATCTACTAAGTGGGCCGTGAAACAACAGATGATTCGGCGTTCCTTTTTACTTAAGGCGCAATTTTACATCATGTTATCCCCATTTTTAGAAAACTAGCGTAGCTTTTATTGAGGTCTGTTAATGTTTTTGCACTCATTCAGAATACTGCTAAATATATTCAACCCATACTTCTAGTAAAATAATGAACTTCTCACCTGTAAAATGGTCACTACACTCTCCATATCAACTAAAATAATTTGATATGAAGAGGGGTGTATTCCTTTTGGCACTGCTTCACCCCCATCTAGAATAAGTAGTTTTTTAAGCCATAAGGTTATTATGTAATGCATCCGTTGTTCTCCCCTTCTGCCCATAACTTTAGGCTTCTGCATCGGAAACATACCATGCGTTATGGCAATGAGAGGTTGCACGAAAGAGCAGTCCGTCTACTCACCGGGGATCGGTGACGACTTCCCAGTCACTAGGCTCGTCCATACCGCCCGCTTGCGATCAAAAAGGGCTAATCTAACAAACGTGTACTGCAATAAGGCTTTATTAGGAGAAAGATTAAACTTCTGGACTTTAATAAATTAAATAATTGATCTTTGAGTTGTAGTAGTTATTTACCAGGGTGCTATCTGTAGTGTTCATCCCTGAATACTAGTTAAACTACGAGATGAAGAATTAAACTGTTAAAACACCTACGTATGTAAACAATGGCATGGCACCTCTTCCCACGCACATGGATATTCCAAGCAATTTATGTAAGGTAAACGTCAATCTATTTTTGGTCCAAAGTTCCATTTGATGGGTAGGTGGAGGGGCGGTGCTTTCTCAAATAAAACAAAGGACTACATATTTTTACCTTCAAAATGACTGCTTTTTCCATACTTTGGAAAATTACTATTTTATGCATTAATTGTGGGTCATAACACACTTTCCTTTGTAAAATAATGTAATAATTTAAATACCACGAGTTTTACGCGACATATTGCAGTTGGAGTGTGGTGACAATCAAAATCAGGTGTAGCTAGTGCCTTTCAAACCCAACTGATAACAGTTAGGATGAGGTGAGTCAAAGACGAATAATGTATGAAATTCCTAACAAAGTGTAGATAATCGGGGGAAGATGCTTTGGTTTGTGTGCATTGCCCTTGTGTATTGACTTCGTACACAACGTAAACTTACACATGACAACTCGTGAATAGATATGTAATGTCAGAAGTGGAAAATGTAGGCTGTTCATAGGCCAATATATCAGATCTGCAGTTCTTGTCAAAATGAAAGCCAAATGCATTGACCTGATCTTGCGCAGAGGCGTATTTAAGGAAATTCCAGCCCTTTTTATTTTCAGATGCAGTCATCCTATTGAAGTAAAGATTTTTTTTTAAAAAAAGCATTTATTTTATTCTGAATATTTCATATCATAAATAAGATTGCGGTGCCATCTGGGATCCTTGCCACAGTTTCCCAGATTTAACTGATTGGAGCTATCTAAATTTAAAGTCTTGACAAGCTCTCGATTCCTATCCAATCGGTTCAAGATCCCAATTTTTGTATAAATGCTCGGACTTATAAACCAAAAAAGGCTTATTGCCTCATTTAAACTAGTAAAACATATTTACCTAGATAAAAATGACTGCTTTCATAAAACCTTTTGGGTGATTACTTCTTGACATTATTTGAGCTGCATCTGACCAGCAGATAAAAATAGCTAATGAATCGTTCAGAAAGAAGCAATGCTACATAAAAGAGTGCATTCACATTCCAATTCTTGTGGAGTAGTTTAAGTGGCGACTAATTAGGCTTTCTGAGAAAGAACCCAATTACATTTGCGAAATAGGCATGTGAAATTCACAAAACCTATTCTCCAAATCCCAGTAGCCGTGATCCAAGTTGTTTTAATGTACCGAATGGTACAGATTTTATGGGTTTTAAGTGAGCTGATTCGTGCATAAATCAACATGACCAAAAGTTGTATTGTTTGTTGCTCATATACATTACCGAATTAAACCGCATCTGTCAATTGGTGTTAAGGGCGTGGTAGAGATGTGATTGAACCTGTTTTGCTTGGAGATGCGCAAATTATCAGCATTTTAGACACCTTTTTGGTGAGGAAATAGCAAGTAGAAGCGCTAGCTTTGTTTTTAAAACATTTGTAGTTACGGTGTTATTAATCATTTTTTGCCACATACACGGTTTGGTTTGGATTTTAAATATACACTCTTTTCACAGTTTTACACTTTTTTCATGAAATGTGCACTTTTACTAAAGTAACGAGATTTTATCCAATTTTTAGGTGTTTGTTATGCAGCGATTCTCTCAATTACCACAGCGGCGCTGCATAAGGGTGGCAATTTACATAAAATAACAAAAATAAGCACAAAATTCTGGAAAGTGCCATATTCAAAAACAAACTAATATGCTTTATTTGCCTGGGTGACAAGGGATTTACTTATTTCATTCAATGATGTAACTGTTTAACTACCTTGGTTGCAGCGGCAAACTGTGTATCAGCCAGCACGTCAACTTAATGAAATTTGAAAGTACTCTGGGCAAGATGTTTGAGATCACTGATGGATTGATACCATGGCTGGGTGGGGTCAATTTTCATCCTTCTGTTTGGTATCTTCACAGATTTACTCATCTGCAGCAGCTGTACTCATTTTTTATTAAATTTTATTCTTTGGCTGCAGAAATAAGGATGGTTGTACATTTTGATCGGATTCGCTTGCGACTGCTACCAATATGACGTGCTGAGGCCTCACGAAAGTCGTAATAAGGCTAAGTATTATAAAAAAGAATCGCATTACTCCAACGTAGAAAAGAGGTGGAAGGCTTTCAGCTCTTCTCAAAACTCATGCCGCGGTGATTAGAGGCTCCCCAGCCGGGGCAATTCAATACACAGTAGAACGGAATCTCAAATCACCACATTAATACGTCTCATCTAAGAACGCAGGCTACCACCTAGAGTTTGGGCCTCTTTAGAATATTGATGAGATTGGAAATAAATACTAATTTTTTCTCGGCCGTCTGGTAAAGGTGAGTTTCCTTTTACAAGTTTTGGGTAATTCCCTACATTTTAAAATTATTATTTTAGTATAGGGATTATTAAAACTGTCAAGAATTTAATGGTACTTTAATGGAATTACTTTGCATCTTACTGCTTCAACTAACCCTTTAAAGTCAGGAAGTACTCCGTAGTGTTAATGATATTTTACATAAAATGGTCTGTTTAAGGAGCTCTAATAGGTTATGTGACTTTTTAAGTAATGGGGAAAAGATTGAAGCATTCGTTACTATTCAAAGAGGTATTCAACAACATGATCCACATTTACTCACTTTTGGGGTGCTTTTAATTGTTGATTAATAATTGAAGCCAAGGACATCCGATCTGCGAAATTCAGTAGCAGATGCTGGTCTCATTCAAGTAGTACCAGTCTCGTCACTATTACTGCTCTTGCTCCAACATTGGTTTGTAACTGTGTTTCTTTTATTTGCAACATTTCAATCTTATAGACTATTATTGTCACAAGAGTGTTGATATTTTTCAGTCATAAAACACAGTTGGACCTATAAACGCTTGGAACGGGAATTGATCCGCTTTTATTATACCCACTTTGAAGATTTGATCAGTGCCAACTGTAGTCAAACGGCTTCTCAATGACTGTCACACCAGTGAAGCACACTCCCTTCTGGACCTCGATCTTCACCATGTTGGGCTTCTTCCAAATCTTTCTGTTTAATTGCTTGAAACGCGCAAACTAATTTGTGTTCTATGTCCTCCTACTTTAATTAAACAGAACTTCGGGAAACACTGAATCTGTGTAGCATTTTTATTTATTCAGTATGAGCAAAGAAGACAATACCAAAATTTTTAAAATTTTAGGTACAAAGCTACGATATGAATTATGTTTCTGTGTAAAACCGTACGTACTATTTAACTTCAACATTTAGGTGCTCCCAACTGCTAAGCTTGGCCGTAACTTCTTTCAGCAAACATTGCATTTGGTTACTTAGCAGGAAGTTAACAAGCCTCACTAAAAGTAAATACTGTCAGCCGCAAGAGATTTTATGACACCTCGGGTTTTTCCTAAAGTTGTAATACCCCATGACGTTAAAAAGGTGGATTTATCAAAGACCTAGCTTAATTCCCTGCCCAATTAAGACAAGTCTTGATCTGTTTCACTTTCTAGCCCAGCTAATTATATGACGTTGTCTTAATAACTGTACAGCTCCATTCATGATGTTGGTTGCATTAGTTAGCAAAAAACCGAGCAAAAATGGCTCAAATACATGTAGGTATTATTTAGTTTTGAGTTTAGACGCTTTCAATGAAAGCAACTGTGTTATCGCAGCAAATGTACGACTAAAACAAATTATTTGTGCTGCGAGAATTCGACATTTCTTATGCAGTTGATAACACAACATTTTTGTCACTTGACATAGCCATATTGTTAGAGCGCTGTTTGAATCAGATGTAGGCTTATGATAGTTTCCCATTCTACTGTGCTTATAAAAAATAAGTCTCACATCTTTTTACCTTTATTTTCGATACCATATATATTAGCCATGGACACAAGTGGCATATTATGATAAATTAATTAATTTCAGCTACTGTAGCCCACTTGGGATAAGTGAATATGAAGTGTTAGTTTTTTAGTCTTTCTAAATGCTATATCGGCCTATGACACCAGTTTAGGACTCTCTTCTGTATAGCGAAGACTTCTACTTCTAATGCTCCGTAAAGAAAATTTGATTAAAATCAAATTTTGGTGGAATCATTGTTTCCTTGGTTCATTTTATTCAAACTTGTGCACAAAAACTAAGTTGTTATCTGCATGGCGAAAGGTAGATAATTATCGAAGACAATAAATTTCTATTTTAATATCTACTGTCTCCCATCCAAATTGGTGACACGTTGCTAGACCATTGCATGACCTTAAATACACTTAAAATATCCCATTCCCTTACCAAGCAGTAATGCATTCATCTTGTGCCAACATTGCTATCCACGTAACCGAGAATTTCACCTGTCGGCTCCTCAAACACACGGTAAAGTATCAAAGCCGTCTATTTACACAGCAATGCCAACATGTACTATAAAAGCCAGGGATAACAAATACATAAACAGTTGAAAAGAAGCAGGTATGGCTTACTCCAATCTGCCTATCCTAGTAGGTTTGCTCATTCTCGTGGTGCGTGGATCGGCCCAACAAAGCAGACCTCGTTTCTGTTATTGCTGTTGCTGTGAAAAACCACCTGATCTGCCTATACCAAAACCGAAGCTACAGCCCGTGCAGGTGCCTATCAAACCCACCATTCCCTTTCCAATCCCCCTCCCCCCCCCACCCTCCCCCTCCCTCCTCCTCCTCCTCCTCCGCCTCCGCCTCCGCCTCCACCTCGATCTCCTTACCCTCATCTACCAGTGGTGGTGACCACTTTCAAACAGTGCCTATATATGTGCCATCTCGAGCCCGGATGCCTACCACGTTGTCGGGCTCAATTTAAAGATAAATGAGCCCATACCGTCATCTCCACAGATGCTTGCGCCAATCGCAATGGTATCTGCTCTTTCTCATGAATGAGGAAGATATGTGAGACTCCCTTTATTAGCATTCTTATCTATTAGTAATTGAGTGCTTATCTTTCTGCTTTTACTTTCATTTAAGGGGATTTTCCATGAAACATTTAATGGCGCGGAGGAAAACTTACGAAGTTATTGATTGAGGGCAGGGGATTTTGGTACGCTGGAATATAACTGATCTAGAATGTATACATAAAAATACAAATAGAAGGCAATATTTAAATGATTGGAATGATCGCATAAAATGGAAGGCTGATACAGTATATCTGTCTTTAAAAAGGGCTAAAAAAACAGAAGCACTTAATATAAGTTAATATTTTCAACAATTTCTTACCTAAAAGTATACTATGTTGGTATTTTGGACTGACCGAGTACTTAAAACTCTCAGTAAAAAAAAAAGGACTCTGACAAGGCAAGAGCTATTCAAGCATACAGGCTATAATTTAAGACTAATAATGAATAGTTAATATTTTGGCTAGACCTTTGAATGCATGATTACGAGGGTGTATTCATACAACGAAACCTCACGTTCACATTAGCTTTGTCAGGATGTCTATAGCCTGTTCAGGAAATACAAGTGCCAAAGTGCAGTTAAATTGTTTAAGCTAGTATTTTATAGGCTTTAAGCAGGAAAATATTTATTCGCATATTTGAAGAAAATGTTCCATTGATTTCGAATAGTGTTGCCTCTAACGGAGTTTGAAGAAGGTTGAACCCGAATTCGATTTAGTCGCCTGCAGCCGCCTCCTAATTTAAAACATTGAAATATATTATGTTACTAAGTAAAGTGCTAAATTTGCTAATTATCTCTAATAATAGTCCATGTGTAGCCTTTTGCCGCAGAATAATTCAATGATTATGATACTAATAAACCATTTATAAAGCATGCTTTATGGCATTCAACATGATTCTGGTGCATATTTGGAGCGAACAATGACACTGACCAAAGAACGAGATTTTATTTCACAAATACAAGAAAATTACGGTGATCATGTACCTAGATATATGATATTCCTACAACTACGAGGTACTGACGTCAAGTCATGAGCTGAATGCCTAGCTTTTGACTCAAATCTTAATTTAAGGCTTGTGTTTGTCTTAGAGACAAAGCACGCGAAGAGTGGCCTTACCAAAGGGAAGAATTTTCTTAGTCTAACTTGGGTGCAAAGAAATTTAAATGCTTCTTCTATTACGACCGAATCCCTTAAAGAATTATGTAGACAGAGAGCGCTAACATCCCAAGTTCGTGCTATTAATGCTTTAAAGGACTGTGAAGGTCCAAATCATCCCATCATTTCATATCTGTTCTTTGCCTCATTAACTATTAGGCTTATTCACTTAAAAAAATAGGGCTAAACTCTTTAACAAAAAATATTTGGCCAAAATAAACCATCCAAAAGTCGCCCCTTGCTCGTAAATCATTACCACAGCAACTAATTGTATTTCAAAATTATTCGCAAAGTACAAAGGAGTAGTGAGAGTAAAATAAGGGATTCTTCAAAGCTAATGTGAGTGCATAGAGGATTTACCATTATCTGTAATGGAATTCCTCCAATTTAATTAACACATTATTTGGATTTGGCTTGTGAGACGAGCGATTCGAAGGGATGGGCATAATTGCCTTTATAATCACTACCTTCATGATTAATCTCCCTGAAGTCTTATTTGCTCTATAATTAATGCAAAAAGCCAAATCACCGGGTTTGCAGCAAAAATGCGTATCTCCTTCTAGATGCCTAAAGTCAGTTAAAGGTGAAGCAACATCGTCACAATCGGCAAAAAGCACTGGAGTGGAAAAATGGGATCCGAAAAAAGAGGTAGACCAAATAAGACTGAGCCTATTTGATAAGAGTGAGTAAAGGAAGTGTTGGCTTTCGCCATTTTCTGAGCGGACTTTTCATAGACTCTAATGGCTATCACAGCATTAACGTCTCAGCTATGGCTCTTAAATCCAAGAGAGAAAGAAGAGGTAGAAGAACTGAGCTAGCTTTGACCCAGTACCTCGGCAGTACTTGAATCGATGGCTTAGTTCTTAGCTTGATATAAGCAAATGTTTAACTTATTTTTAAGTATAGTCACTTTAATGCTTGTGGTAGTGGTAGTAGTGGTAGTGAAGCTCACTGATAGGTAAATAGATGAGCAGACAGAGGTACATGTGTAAGCCTTTAGGCTAAAACTAAAATAAAGTTTTCTTTCTGTTAGTCACGAACCGTGATTTTCCAAAGACAAATTCTCCTTCTGCAAGTTAGGTTTGATTGTATTTTACTCCATAATTGTGCCAGCACTCCGTACATTAGACTATTTACCCACGTTTTCTTTGTAGTGGTTTTTACGATTTCAAAGACTTATAAAAGCACATTTTACTGGTGTTTGCAGCCACTACCTAAATACATATCTAAGTGAGCGCCTTTCGTTTGCCTTAGGATGCTAATTTGCTCAAATTGACATGAACGTTTGACAATGTGGACAGGGCAAGGAATGAGATGGCGGTTAATGAGTGGCCTTTTAGTCCACTCTGGCGAGGGCAAGCAGATAGTCGGGTACAAGAATAACTAGGACAGGAATAACTCGTAACTCCGACAGTTTCCATGGCAAACTAGGCAATTCTGTTACTATGGGTAAGTTTCTCATTGCACTAATGCTGGTTTATGAATTTGCCCTAAATATGGATACCTATTGAACAGAATTACGACAACGATTAAATTTTAGCAGAGGACGTGGGTGACGTTATAAATATGGTGGGCCTATAACGATCCTCTTCATATTATCATTAATGATGAACCCATATTTAAGTAACCGATATCCCTCTCAAATATGTTCCATGCTTATCCAGAAACCCTTTGTTAATAAGAATGCATTCACTCAATTATATCAATCATAATATTTACTGCGGAACAAGTAGAAAATTTTAAGAATTAAATCTTGAAATTACCTAGGCCTTTCAGACTATCGTCCGCTTTCGTCCTTCCATTAGCGTAGGTTTGCATGCAGTCAAGTAAGCTTTTAAAATCGCTTTCACAGTTGATTTTGTAGATTATAAAGGGAAGATGCAAATGTACAACGATAATAGTCCAGGGTCATAAAGCCAATTTTTTGATGCAAAATAAGACCGTCATACAATGCAAAATAACACGATTAGATTCCAGGATACTAAATAAGTAGCATTTACTATTTTTGCTTTTGACTTCTCGCAATAAGTCTCCACTTTATCATGGATTGATGCACAACACTAAAAGTATTTTATAAATAGTTGAATAGCTCAGAAGCGATTTTCGTCTTAAGCACTAACTTCTTCCATTTTCTAGCTAAGTTTATTTTTCCTAGTATAACGGCCACAAATATGTGCGTCTAACTTGAGAAATCTACTTAACAATTAGTAACTGGTTATTTCGAGAGCAAAAGTAGGTTGCAGACATCCTTTGACTAAGGACTGAACGCTTTTAATAAGTCTTGTAGGCAAACGTTACGCAAAACACCGCCTATTCTACTGCCATGCTACTTATTCACGGATGACCTGGTAAAAAGGCCGTAGCCCTAAAAATTCACAGATTCCAAGTCCAATCGAATAAAGTAGAATTTTAGCTGGAACCAAAAAATATGTCGTAAGGGATGATTTAAAGAAACGGTGGGAGAAGTCGAAGTGTGTTGGCAACGGTGATAAACTTTTCGAACTTTTATCATTACGTTAGAAAGATTATCAGCAAAAATTGCCCCCCCCCCCTTAATGAAAAGAATTATGACAATATTTATGTGCAAGATTCTTATTTTCAAGCAGGTGGGTTAGCAGAGCAGCTGTCATATACACTGGTGAAAGTGATATTTAGCCAACTGCT